GGTCTCCGGCGGCCGTTCGGGACGATCCGGGAATCCCCGGAACGCCATCGGCGAGGCGCAGCTGCTGGAGAGCATCCCGAGGCTGGAAAACCGCCGCGAACCAACGAAAACCACCGAAAATCTCAAACCTCGAAAAGGCGCCACGTCGGAGGACGGGGCTGCCACCGGGTCGCCTGATCGTCCCCTGGCTTGCGCTCCCACTTCTCCTCCCCGTCGTTGTTCGCCCAGCCCACGCTGCGCCCGCCGCCGTCTCGGCCTCTGCCTGCGGCTGGGAGGAGCTGTGCGGTGGAATGCTTCTCCTCCAACCACTGCCCCTGCCCTGCGACAAAGCCAGGACTTGCACAACATCGGGCAGGAATAAATCAGGGATCTCTTTGGATCCTGCGGTGTTGGAGGATGTGTCGGGCGCCGCGACCGTTCCAGAGCGCTCCGAAACGCTCTGAGGGCGTTCTGAAACGCTCTAGAACGATTTATTCCCTACCTAGGCTCTGCCTAGAGGGTTCTTACTCTCTTTCTTAAAGGGGCCGGGCAGTGCACACCTCCCCGGGCGGTTCCCCCAGTATCCGCCCCGCGGTTCCCCCAGTTACGTCCCCTTCGCTTAGCGCTGCTTATCTCATCTTAGCTTATCTTATTTAATAGTGGCTTAGTTTAGCTTCATCTCAGCTCACTTCATCTTAGCTCTGCTGAGTTTTAGCGTAGCAGAGCACAGCATAGCATAGCGTAGCATAGCAAAGCGCAGCATTGCATATCATAGCATAACCCAGCATAGCATAGCATAGCGCAAAATAGCATAGCATAGCATAGCATAACATAGCATAGCATAGCGCAGCACAGCACAGCACAGCATAGCAAAGCGCAGCATATCATAGCATAGCATAGCATAGCATAACATAGCATATCACAGCTTAGCATAGTATATCATAGCATAGCATAGCACAGCACAGCATGGCATAGCATATCATAGTTTAGCATTGCATAGCATATCGTAGCATGGCGCATCATAGCATAGCATAGCATAGCATAGCATAGCATAGCATAGTATAGCATAGCATAGCATAGCGCAGCATAGCATGGCATAGCATAGCATAGCAACTAATGCTGCTTTCCTAGGGGCTCCAACTTCTAGGTAGGGTCGCACTGGGGTAATCCCTGTCCTAGCCCCGCCTGATGCCCCCCGCGGAGGAGGGGAGGGGTCGGGAAGGGATCGGCGAGGAAGCGAGGCGAGGCGAGGCGAGGCGAGGCGAAGCGCCAGTCAGTCGTCCCGGCAGGGACGGCCCTACGAGAGCCCGGCGGTGGCGCCGGAGCGCCGAGAAAGAACCTTCGTCGAGGGGGAAGGAGGGAGGAGAAGGACTCAGACCGTGAAGTGGGAGTTTCGCACACAATCCCCACAATTGAAATGAGCCAGAAATTTCGCCTCCAACGCCGACCATGCTTTCTTGTCCGTCGCAATGTGTATCCACCTTTTGTGGTCGTCGTCTCCCTAGTGTGTAGTGACTGTGCGTACGAATGGTGTGATTTCGGCATCCCATCTTTTCCGTTGTCCTCCGTGGCGTCGTAGGGTTTGGCGTGGGTCGTGGGTGTTCGGGGTCCATTGTAGTGAGAACCGCGTCCATCTGTCGTAGTCGTGGGTTGCGACGCGCGATGCCCACCGCCACTTCCGTGTGAAGTATACCGTAGGCCAGTCCTCAACGCCTGCGCGCAGAGCATGCTCTAGGGCTGCGTGCGTCGATCTTCGTATGAATTATCCCCATGGTTACAACCAGTCGTCGTCTTCTCTGTCGTCGGCTCTGTCGTGGTGGATGGGGGAGTCTGCTGCGTCGGCGCTGGTCGCTTCGTTGGTGTCAGTGTCGCGAATGTGGTTTTGTATGTTGCGACGCTTTGGCATCCCGATGATAAGCCCTGAGCATCCTCCGAAGCCAGGAACGCATCCTCCTCCTGACAAGGGATCGGCGAGGAGCCTAGGACGAACAGGGGAAAAGGAAGAGGCTGAGAAGGAGCAGCAGCAGCGGCTGCAGGCGGAGCCGAAGAGAAGAATGGCAGACATTCTCGCTACAGTCGGTGCTCAGACCACCGGTCACATGAGGGTCAGGGCTCCTGCGGCAGTCAGCGCTCACGCACTGCGGGGGAGAGGCAGGCGGAGGACGAGGAGGAGCGGGAGGAGGCGGAGAGGGGGTAGGGACGAGGAGGACGGGAGGGGGAGAGAGGGGAGCAGGAGGAATGGGAGGAAGAGGCGAACGAGAAGGGGGAGCAGAGGGAGAAGAGGGAAGGAGGGAAGGAGGGTGAGCGGGGAGTGGAGCAGGTGGAGGAAAGGGAGGAGGAGCAGACGGAACCTGAGGGACATGAGGGATAGGGCCGGGGGATAGAGGAGGAAGGGGACGGACTAGAGGAAGGGGGAGAAGGAGACCAGGAGGAGGAGGAGGAAGCAGAAGAAGAAGGAGGGAAAGAAGAAGAGGAAGAAGAAGAAGAAGAAGAAAAAGAGGAAGAAGAGCACTTCATCGCGTAGATTTGCAAACCCTGTCGGCTGCCGTCTCCGCCACCCTTGCCACGGCCCTTCGAGGAGAGGTTGGCGACATAGCGGCCGTTGACGTAGCCCCCCCGGCCCGCCATCGCCCCCTATCGAACAACTAGCCAACGGCTTGAAAGGACAATGGCGCCGTTGTTTTGCAATAGGGCTCCCCCTGCATCCGCGACACGCGGCTCCAATTTTGGACGTCAGCCTTTTTCCCGCACCCTCTTGGCATGAACGGCCAAATTCCCCCGAGCTGCAAAATCAGTAAACTCCAAAGAAGATGACGACTTCTGAATCACCAAAGGATTACTTCAAGAAAACATGTGCAAGCTTCCCCGGAGATGATCACAGCAACTACGGAACGTATCGCCAAGAGTAGACAGCTTGCAGACGCCAGGGGGTAGATTCATCGCCACATCGCCAGGGAACACGTGTATCGTCGAAATTCATGATTCATCAAGTGGTCCAAAGCATTTTTTGCGCGTCCCCAGGGCATTCGGGGGATAAGACACTTCCGTGGGCACCTGCAAGCTGGCTGGGGTTCTGGTCTGGCGCGCCTACTAAGGAGAAACGGGCAGAATAAGAAGACGAAGAGGAGCAGCAGCAAGAGGACGGAAGATGAGGAGGTCTGCGGCTGTACTGGGAGCTCACGTTCAACATAATCGAAGACACGAAGAGTTGCACACACCCGCCTCCCCCGCCTCCTCCTCCTCCTCCTCCTCCTCCTCGTCCTTCTCCTCCTCCTCCTCCTCCTCCCTCATCCTCGTCCTCCACCTCCTCCTCCTCCTCCGCCGCCTCCGCCTCCGCTTCCGCCTGCGCCTTCGATTCCTCCTCCTCAATTCTTTTTCCTTAGAACTAACTCCTTCCTGCCGCAACCCGAGTCCAAGTTTAAGGGCGGGCCGGGCGTTTTGCCTGAGACTTCCTCACCTTTTATGACTCTGAAGATGAAAACATGACAACAGTTTCACGGATTGAGGGCGGGTGGTTTTCAAAACGTGGCTCTCGCCTTCGCGCTGCGCACATTAATGCTACAAATGTTTAAGAGCTTCACGGATTGAGGGCGGGTGGTTTTCAAAACGTGGCTCTCGCCTTCGCGCCGCGCACATTCTTTTTTGAAACTTGGCAAGAGCTTCACGGATTGAGGGCGGGTGGTTTTCAACAAGTGGCTCTCGCCTTAGCGCCGCGCACATTCGTTTTCACATTTTGCAAGAGCTTCACGGATTGAGGGCGGGTGGTTTTCAACATGTGGCTCTCGCCTTCGCGCCGCGCACACCTTATTTTTAAGTTGGCAAGAGTTTCACCGATTGAGGGCGGGTGGTTTTCAATATGTGGCTCTCGCCTTAGCGCCGCGCACCTTCGTTTCAACACACTGAAAGGGTTTCACGGGGTGAGGGCGGCTCCTTTTCAAAATGTGGCTCTCGCCTTCGCGCCGCGCACATTCGCTTTAAACATTTGCTAGGGTTTCCACGGATTCACATGATCAACGTTTCAGAAATTGTGATTTGGAAGGGTTCAGGATTATGCGGGCGCAACAGTTATGTTGATTCGCTGTGATGAAGTCAAAACCCATGGCGTTCTGGCACGATTCTGGATCGTCACGACGCAGCAGTCTGGTTGATACGTGGCGTTGAAATCCCTGAGCAATGTTTCGGCACGCTTCAGGCTTCAGGATCTTCAAACTGTTGTCTTCCAACGATGGAGCTCCCTCAACGGAAATGAACTGTTGTATGGGGCCTATGAAGAAGGAGCATGGAGGGAGGGTTAATTCCAACATCGTTGATGGCTCTTGGGTTTCCACTGGTCCTCCTCCTCCTCCTCCTCCTACTCCTCCTCATCCATCTCATCCCACCTCCTCAACCTCCTCCTCCTCCGCCACATCAATATTCTCCTGCCCATCCCCTGCGTCCGAGAGGGGGGCGTCCAAAAGGGGGTGTCGCAATCAGGGCCCCGAGGCATGTGTATTTCTAATTTGCATTTTCCTGCCTGCAGGATCACGAATCTCCTCAGAAAGCGTGGTCGACGGATAGTTCGAACACAGCACGCTCAGTCTACCCGACCGACGGGAGACGTCAGAACGTACTGTCGTCCAAGGATCTGCCGATGCGCGCCACGCGGTCGATCAAAATGCCGCTCTGTCTGTTCGACTCCGGGAGCCCTGACCCCCCCCAAAAAAATGTCATCCGCAGGATTCCGCTGGCCTTCCGCCAGCTTCCGCTGGCTAGGCCGCAAACGTCGTATTCTACTGGCTTCCACTGGCCTCCGACGAAGGCATGATGCACCGAAGGCGAGCCCTTTCTGAAGCGCCTCATCTTTGCACCGAGTGTATCTTCCAATTGCATAATTACTCATCATGGTGCCCATTCTCATCATCATATTGCAAGCTTTTTCTGGCACGTGCCGCTCCATGCAGGTCGAGCCCGACCGGAAGAATCCCTGCGACTGTGGGCGAATCTGACGCCATTTGGATCCCGACTCCCCCCTCCCACCTTGGCCACTCCCAGTCTCCGAATGCACTGCCTGCACATCGGGAGACGAGCCCCGGCGCGCGGCGAGCGCAAGATCGACCCCCAACCGCTCGTGAAAGGGGCACGACACCGCACGACCCAGCGCCACGCGGCACGGCGAGGCAACTCACTATATAAGCACAGCGCAGCACAGCACGAATCGACTCGGGCCGGGTCCACGCCAAGATGCAAAACTGAGACGAAGCCAAGACAAAAGCAACGTCGGACGGGGACTCCTCGGGACCTCTGAGACGGCTCTGGAAGATTTCTCGGGCGCCGCGGCCTTCTCGCAGCGTTACGGAACGCTCTGATAGCGTTCCGGAAAGCTCTGGAACGATTTATCCCTGCCCTACTCCCGCTCGAACAGCAGCGGCATGCAAGCATCGGGCTAAACGGATGGTCGGAAAACCGAATTCGAATCGGATCGAAGCGGCCGACATTGATGCAGAATAGAGTCGGCTGGGTCGAAATAAGCCCTGCACGGAGGAGGGGAGAAAGAGGTGATGAGGTGGACCATCGGCCAAAAGCCAGTCCAGCGGGCCTAGTCAGGTCCAGAATCGGCGGCCCAAGTCAGAGGCCTCCTCAAAATCCTCAGCGTCCGCATCACGCTCGAGGAGGCTCGCGCCCAAGGCACAGACGTCTGCGAGCCCATTCTCTTCGAGACCGAACGCCCTCACCACAGCAGCTCGGGAAACCCCCCTGCCATCGCGTCCTGAGCCGCCGTGCTGGGGAAGTCGCGCTCGCATGTCCTCGGGAACCCTGGTGGGCAGATCAAGGACAAGACAAGGCCCTTCAGACATTATTGTAAAGTGGGCCAGCGGCCGCCCTTGACTCGGCGAAGCTGCTCACTCTGGCCCGAGAGCGCGCGTTCTCGGAGACACGGCCGAAGGAGGGACCGAGTCCGCGAGAAGTTTCGCCAACGCGGTTGCCGCCGAGCCGCCTGCTACCACAGCCCCCGTCGCCTGGAGAACCTCAGAGTCGGCCCCGTCGAACAACAGAGTCCTGACCCCAGACCATATCGTCGCCAAGCCCCCTCGGGAATACAAGTTGAAATCCGATTCGCGAGCCGCCTCGAGCAAAGCCGAATGCCGAGCGTGCTCGTATCGTTCCTGGAAAACGAACAGTACCGCGGCACTCTGAGTGCCCATAGACCAGCACAATGCAACCACGAAATTGTGACCCATCCTGCACGTCCGCAAGCCGTCTTGGGCCCACTCCCCCAGAGAAACTCCACGTTGCGGGCCCGTTCCCAATCCCGACGCATCGGCTGGCTGAGTTTACTCCGCAACTTCATGAACAAACACAATAACCCGATCGGCCTCGCCCCCCTCCCTTCAGGCATCGGGATGAAAACGATGTTCGTGACCCAATCTAGGATCCATCCGGGGTTATTTTCGAAGGACTGGTGAATGCACGCTATCCTTAGCTGACCGGCGGCTGGAGGACCCACTTCGGGCGGAACTTACTCCAGACCTGACCTGCACCTTCAGAATGGGACTGACATGCTTCCTGCAGGGCCTCAAACGCGATGAGGGTAAGCGCGGTCTCGCACATGCCCCGAACCCAGGCGAGCAGGCCTCGCGGCTTTTTGGAGCCCACATTGACAGCGATACGCCCAGGAGAGCAGCGATTGCTTGATCGCCGTGAGCGGGCAGCCCTCCAGGATCGCCTTCCAAACGCCAATGGAGATGGTTCCGCGACCCTCTTCTTGTCGCGGGCGCGAGGAGCCCCAACCCCCACCCCCGTTCGCCGACCCCTTCGCCCAAGTCCTCCATCGGCGGCAACGCTCTCGGGCACCAGCTCGTTGAAGGAAGGTTAAATAATTGACCCACCGCTGCCGCGGGGGGGCCAGCCTCGTCGACTGCGCCACTGCGGCGGCGACCGAAAAGACGGCGCGCAAACTGCCTTAGCGGGCGCCCCGCAGTATCCTCGCGACGAAACCCGCGACCCTTGGACCAGAACAACTGGGCCGACGTTGGCACGCCCGACGCGCCAAGCCGAAAGCAGGCACCCAGGGCGCAGAGAGTCTCTAGGGGGGCCTTCTTCATCCGCGGGTCCAAGGACCTCCCTTCCCGGTGTGGGGCTGCTCGCGAGAGTCAGGGATGTCGCACAGCGCCCTCAGCCAGGCCTTAAGAGCTCCGGGAAGATCCGCGGGACTCTGATCAAGGGCCTCGCGCCAGACACCGTCTGGCGGAAACAATTGGGGCTCGCCAGCAAGAAAATGGGGAAAGACCTGAACTGCGCGGGCCGGAGAAAAAAACTCGCCTTCACCGCCAAGCGCTGGAGCGCCGCGCCCACTTGCGCGCAGGGCGAAATTGAGGCCGACGGCAGCGCCCCCACAACAGAAAAGCCATGCCGAAGAACCCGAGCCCCAATGAAGTAATCTAGCTCCCTCCGCACCTTCACCCATGACTCGCCCCCGCCCCCCCCGCCCGCTTGCGCCGCGTGAACCGCGCGGGCTGGCCGGCCTCGAGGATGGCACCGACGCGGGTGCTGAGCCAGCCAGACTGGCAGAGATCCTCGGGCGCACAGCTCCAATCGGCCCTTCGCGCCCCCCCTCACCGGCACGCAGTAGATCGACGCGACGAAAAGCCCCGCCGGGATGCCCGCGCTCGCACGCCTGATCGCAACGCGATGGGCCTGATGACCGCCACTCCCGCTGCTGCCCCACCGCTACTCATAGTCGGCCCAGGGCTCGTCGAGGCGGCCCGCCCCATCGAGAAGCACAACCCGTACTTCGGGCCCCGCCCCAAGACCTGCTCCTCGACGCCGACGGCATTGATCCCGGTCTTCCCAACGCGCTTCACCTGCGGGGGCGCGTCGCTGAGGAAGTGAGAAGCTGGCGCAACGTCAACGCGTACGCCGTCGACGAGCCAGTCACGCGCGCCCTCGAAGCCCCCCCGAAGCATCGGCGCCCACCCCCAAGATGACGAGCTCGCCCTGCCCCAGACTGCAAGGGCCTCTCGCGCCCAGGGTTGACCCTGACCGCATCGGGCGCCCGCGGGGGGAGGGGCGCGCCTGCGCGGCTTTCCTTGGGGATAGTTTTTAGGGGCGCCCCCGGCCCCCATCTGAAGAAATAGACGCCGAAGACCTGCTGCTTCGCGCGGCCGCCCCTGCGCTTCCCCCAGCCGGTTCGGGGCGCGGGCTCCCGCGCGGCGGCCCTGGCTCCCCCTGGGGAACACCAGCCTATCGCGGGTTGTTTCCGCGCCGCCGTCTCAGCCTTCGCCGGGCGGGCGAGCGAAAGGCCCAGCGACGGCTTCGCCGGCCCCACTGTAGACATCGACCTTGGCAGCGCAATCGAAGCCCTCGATCTCGCATCCGCCGTCGTCCCCTTTCGCGCCGGGGAGATCCGCGCCGTCTGGCCATCTGTCATTACAACCACCAAGGCAGGCCATCGGGGCGGAGACCTCAGCCTCCGCCGCCGCTGTTGAGGCACGCCCCACCAGCAGGCGACGGGCCACCACCTCCCCCCCCTGGGCACACTGGCGGTGCCATCCACTATGCTGGGAATAATGAACTGCACCCCGCTCCCCAGGTGACCAGTGCTCGCGGCCCCAATGGAGGGTCGATCCCGTCTGCATGGGGGAGGGTTTGGAAATCCGCAGCTGCGCCGCTGGCCACGAGGTGGGCGTGCCCTCAAGTCCTTCGGCTAATCCTCTAAGCTTCAGTCCTTGCTCCTGAGGAGTCTTTAAGGGGCCGGGGGCCCAAATTCTCAAATCTCCCGGGGGTACTTGGCGCGGTCCCCCTGGGCTCTGGCGCATCTTCTTGCGTGACCTGTCGGTCCCAAGATGGCCCCGAGACGGGCCCAGGAGGCCCCGAGAGGCCCCCGCAACGGCCCATTAGGGCCCCGAGACGCCCCAAGATCGCACCAAGACGCCCAAGCCCAAGAAGGCCCAAGAGGCCCCCTAAGGGCCACAACACAGCCCAAGAGGGCCCGAAGACGGCCCCAGAAAAAGGGCCCGAAGGTCATTAGATTGAAGCCCCCCACCCAAAGCCACCCAAAGCCCCCCAACCCAAAGCCACCCAACCCAGGCCAGTGCGTCGCCCTGCTCCCAAACCGTCGACGCACTGGCCTGGACGCGCCGCTGGAACTGCGGCGCCGAGGGGGGGCCCACTACGCGTCCACCAAGTTCGCCTCCTCGAAGCGCTAGATGGACCCAGGGGGCGCAAATTGGTCAACGGCGTCGCTGTTTCTTGGCCGTGTGTCTTGGCCGTGTGCCCTGCAATGAGCTTGGCCACCGCAACCTTGTCTCCGCCAGCCTCGAAGAGACGCTTGATACCCTGCATGAGGTCGTCGTCATCGAAGTCGTCCTCCTCCATGCTGGCGAAGCCTCTCTCCTGGGGGGGGGGCCTGCCGGCCGCTGACCTTCTGAGCCTGCTCCCGCTGACGAGGCTGCATTCCTACCACGAGGAGCACCGTCATCAGCAGCCTGCTCAGTAGCCCGGGTCGCTGGTGTTGTTGCCTCCCTCGCCTGCTCCTGCAGCCGCTGGAGCGTCTCCAGAGCCGCCTTGTCCTCAGCCGAGGAAGCGATCGATTCGTCAAGCCCCGCGAGCCCGACCTTGATCGGATCCTCAGCCTCTTCAAGATGGGCTCGGTGCAGCATCTTGGTGTGCCTCTCAAGCTCCTTCTCGGCGTCCTCGAACGAGGCAGTGGTGTCGACGATGCTCGTCTCGAGCTCGACTTTCTGCTTCTCGAGGGACTGCAGGTTCGTGTCGAATCGCTCCGCCTTGTTTTTGGCGTTTTCGGCCTGATGCTGGGCGGCGATGGCAGACGGCGGCGTGCTTTCGTACTCTCGTACCTTCGTCTGCTCAACCGCCTCGGTCGATGGCTGGCCCATGCTGGCCGAGCTGAGGAAGGTGAGGCCGTGCGCAAAGGTGAGGTCGCCACTGACCGCGCTCTGCTGCTGTGACTGGGACTGGCCCGAACCTCCGCCACTGTGGGCGGCACTGATCGCTTTGATCTTGGCGCGCAACTCACGGATGAGTTTCGCCTGCGTGAGGTTCTGTGGTGCTGCGGGGCCCGCCTGGTTCCGAGATCGCTGTCGTTGTCCGTGTTCATGAGCTCGCTGGGGCCCAAGTACAGGAAAGAACCTATTCCGAAGCACGTCCCTGCAACACTGTCGAGTGCGAAATGAATGAGGAGAGGAGGAGGAAGAGGAGAGGAGGAGGATGATGAGGAGGATGAGAAGGAGGACGACGACAACGCACGAAGGCCCGTCCCCTCTCCTGAGTAACAGCTAAACCGACTGGACAATCTCGATGTGCCCAGACATCCTCCAAAGAAGCCGCAGCATCCCGAGAGGGCCTGGCCACCCGCTGGAGCGGCATGTGGCTCGGACCAGGTCTGCCGGGCAATCGGCGGGTTTGTGTCGTGGCGACCAGGGCATCGCGTCGTCGTCGTCGTCGTAGCCGTCGTCGTCGTCGTCGTCGTCGTCGTCGTCGCAGCCGTCGTCGTCGTCGTCATCGCAGCTGTCGTCGTCGTCGTCGTCGTCGTCGCCTTCTTCGTGGCGACGCGCTGGTGTCTGGCACCGCGTGAATCGCCCCCCTTGAGCGCGCAGCCAAATCCATCCCATCCCTTCCTCTGTCCATTCCAGCTGTCTTCGGACGGCCTAGCGGCCCGGCGAGGGCCCTCGGAGGCTGAAGGCAGGCAAAAACATCCCGTCGGGATGTCTCTGTACGACGCGAGGGAGGCCGGGGCAATCCCCGCCCCCTCGGAGCCCCCGCGATCCGCCCGTCTCCAGGGCGAAGGTGACGTCATGATAGGACTGGCTCAGAATGCGTTTCGGGCATTCCATCTGCAGCCCGTGTGAAACGCTCGGAAGTCATGGAAACCCTGGAAATCCTGGAACGTATCATCGTCGTCATCATCATCATCATCATCATCATCATCATCATCATCACCATCACCATCACCATCACCATCACCATCACCATCACCATCACCATCACCATCATCATCATCATCATCATCATCATCATCATCATCATCATCATCATCATCATCATCATCATCATCAACCATCAGCAGCAGCATAGTCATCATCATCAGCATTATCATCATCTTCATCATCAGCATCATCATCAACATCATCATGATGACATCTTGCTCCTCTGATTCTTCGGCGCCCAGAGCGGCTATGCTGAGGACGGGTCGGGCGAGAAGGAGGAGGGGCAGGGAAGGGGGGGTCAGCGCAGCTCGGGGTTGACAGTGGGGGCGAAGAGCCCTCGGAACAATACACGTATCCAGGGGCGCCGATGGTCCATGCCTTGGGCGAGGCTCCTGGGCGAATGCGTGTGTAATGTCGTAATGCCCGCATCTGGGCTATTCGCACCCATCGTCGCCTCCGAAACTCACGCGGCTGATCTCCCCGGCGCCTCCAGGCGCTGGTGGCTCCGATGCATCGAGGAAGGCGCCCGACGGCGGGTCCGAGACCAGCTACACGCAGCAAATGTCGTACACCACCCCTTTCCCAATCCTCCCCTTCTAAGCCGGAGTTGTGTTTACGACGCAGATGGATCCGCACGGGGAGAGGTGCAACAGTACTTGCAATGGTTGGCGCCTGGATGCCATGGCTGGCGCGCTGGATGCACTAGTTGCGCGTGGGTGAAGATGTATGGTGCGCTCATGTATACAAGAACGTTGCCCGTGAAATAGCTCGTGTCCTACGCAATATCTGCTTACTGTTGCACGCATCAGCATACGACTAATGAACAATTGCACCTCTCACCGCTGATCCATCTGCGCCACCCCCACGGATCCCCTCTGAGCCCGTTCGGCCTCTGAGCCCATTTGGCCGCCGATGGGCGGGCAACCGAACGGGCTCAGTTCCGACAGAGTCGGGGGAATTGAGCACGCTCGGCCCCCGAATGGGCTCGATCGTGGGTCCACTCGGCGGCCGCATGGGATCAGACGCCGAACGGGCTCAAAGGGAACCGTGGGGCAAACCCACTACTCCAACTTGATCTCCTGCCGTCCGACCCGACGCGAAGGGTGAAAAAAGCGCGCCCGCCCCCTGGAAGGGGCTAAGACGAGAACAAATCCGTTCCAGAGCGTTCCAGAACGCTCTCACAGTGTTTCCGGAACGCTCTCACAGAAAGCTCAGAGAAGGCCGCGACGCCCGAGGCATCCGAGTAGACGGGGTCGGAGGATCGCGCTGCACCGCCGATGCATCGGCGACGCACTGGCGATGCACAAGGCGACGTCGGCGATGCATCAGCGCCGTCGGCGTGGGGAAAATCGGGCTCCGCATCGAGCCGCATCGGCGATGCATCGGCGACGCGGCGGGCTCCTCCGACCCCACCTGCCCCGACCCCGTCTGGGAGGCCGTTCGGATGCTCCTCACCCGCCTTGCTCCTCGTCCTGGCGTCGTCCTGCGCCCAGGGCTCCGAGGCTCTGTCCGCCCTCGGCCCGGCGCCGAACCCGCGAGACGGCCGGCCCCTTCGGCCGCCCGCCCGCGGGCGCGCGAGCCTCTCCGGGGAGGGCCCCGCGGCTCATGCCCGAGAGGGGCCCTCCGCCCCCTCTCGGCGCGGAAGGGAGGCCTACTGGGCGTCGTGGACAAGACCACGGCGAGGGGCACTTGCCCAATTTTTCCGCCCCCCCCTCCCCCCGTTTTTGCCGTTCCCCCCGTGCGTGTTTCGGCTTCGTGCGTCTGCCTTTCCGCAAGGTGATCCGGCATGTTTCTCGATGGTCCTCGCGAGCGATGCCGAGCCCTCCGTCCTCTCGAGATGCGGCCCGCCTCCCCCCCGCGCGCCTTCCAGCAGCCGTCCCCCCCAGCGCTGTGCCTGGCAGAGGGGGGCCAAGAGGCGCCCTGCTAGCAACTACAAGCTCCTTGTCCGGCCGCGTTGGCAGCTGCGCCGCTGCCCGTCACCTGGGCCAGCGACAGGCAAGAGGGGAGGAGGAGAAGGAGTAGGAAGAAGAGAAGAAGGAGGAGAAGGAGGAGGCGGGTCTGATGACAGGAAGGGGGGTAAGGATGATGGTGCAGGAAGGGGGGGACGAGAGGCGGGGGAGGGAGGAGGACGCGCAGGAGGGAGGAGGAGGAGGAGGACGAGGAGGAGGAGGAGGAGGAGGAGGAGGAGGAGGAGGAGCGAGCGTCCCAGGATAATTCGGTCCCCGCCTAGGGCCGCTGATTGCGCGCCGAGCCTCTCAGGCTCGCGCTGAGGAAGTCCAGGGCGTCGCTGGCGGGGTTCAGGAGGTCGACCTCGTCGATGGGCGCGCCGACGGAGGGCGCCAGGGTGAACTCGACGGCGTCGATCTCGAGCATGTCAGCAGGATCGTAGTCGGGAAAGGCTGCACCGGACAGATTCATCGCCATGTCAGGGTCCGCCAGCCCAGCTCCCAACAGAGAGCCATGTACAGCATCATGCGGATTGTCAGGGGCGGGTTCATGAGGTGGAGGATGAGCATCCACTGGTTGAACTTCATCACCAGGAGCTGCAACCGTATCTTCATGCGGTCCATGAGGCGGACGATCCCCAGGCGGGTCACCCTGCACACTTGGAACCCGGTGTGCTCGATTCACGGCGTCACGATCAGACGGGGGACGGTCCACAGGAGGAGACGCATGGTCAGGAGGTGTATCGTGGGCCAAGAGTAGAGCTCCTCCCAGCGAGCCATCAGGATAGATGACCTCAAAACCGTGTGCAGCCATCGTCGCATCGAAGTCGTCATCAGTACTTGTGGACTCAGCCGAAGAGCTGCCCTTTCTCTGGACCACCCTCGTCGTGGGTGCTACAGGGCGCGGGGCGCACCGCGAGGAACTGGCTGCGGGGTCGCTGGTCACCGCCTCATCAGGGCCATCTCGAGAGCGTCGTAAAATACGCTGGAGTTGGCGGTCAAACTCCTCATCACTGAGTACTGGCCCATGATGTGGCACATGCTCTTCACCTTGCATCTCAACATCAGACTCATGGTCCGTCAGATTGTCGCCGCCACCCTCGTCCGCGAACATAGCTTCGAGATCCAAAGGAGAGGGGTTCGGGAGACCCTCGTGGTCGACACTGTCGTAATCTTCATCAGGGGGCACCACGTGCAGAGAAAGCTGCCCTCTCGCCTGGCCCGTGATCAGGTTCGGGAGAATGAGGAGGTGCGGTAATGCCACAGGCGGTGTACTCGGGGAGGTCGCCGTATTCTGAATCAGGAAGTCGTCGCGGCTGGCAGCGGACATGCGGTTCGGGTCGGCCCGCCATCCAAGCTTCTTGAGATGCGCCATGGCCAGAAGACGGAGGCGTCGAATCCTCTTCCCATCATGCGCGGGCCAGGGGTCACGAAGGAGACGACGAAGTTGCTCACGAGCAAAGGCGCTGCTGCACCGTCCGCCGAGACACCAATCCAGCGCAAGTTGTCTCCGATTCGCCCAACCGCCGCCCAGGATTTGAAGGTCATCATACCTGAGCACATTCTCCAGGTAGTCAGGACACCATTACATCCAATGTTCGTAGTCCGTTCCGCATGCGTTGATCAGCAGCGACGGTGTCCAAACACGGGCCCAAGCCTCGATCCTGTCCACCAAGGCCTTACGCCGCTCCGCGATCGGTAGGGCAGACTCTCCGGGCGCAGGGATAAAGGATTCAAGGAGCGCAGGAAGATCTTCCTCGTTAATCGTGGCAGCGATCTGGATAGCGCCTTCACTGTCCCAAGCTAGCCCTTCAGAAAGACTGGAAGCACCACCCACAAGGTTGGAACGGCTGGCCGACGAGGCCAAGGAAGGTGGCGATGGAATCGACGCACTCGTCGTAGTTGTATATGAAGTGTTGGTTATGTCCCCATGGGCGGCAGCCAGCGGCCGAAAGATGAGCCCTAGCGCGAAGACGATCATGGATGGAATGTCGTTGGGAAAATCCGTTTGAGCCGCGCTGCTCTGCGGAAGTGACATACTGCATATCGGAGTCGCAGGGCAACAAGAAGCGGTTTGCCAAGCTTCGCATCCCAGAAGCACGGGACTCTCCTGCATCCCACGCGCCACATGTTCCGCCCCATTGACAGAGGGAAAGCCAAGAGATGCCGCACGACCAGACGAAGTAGCAGCAGCGCAAGGTGACGGTGGTGTCGATGGTCGGCAGCAAAGCGATGGCAGTGTTGACCTCGGTGATGTAGGTGATGAAGACAAACATTCCGCAATATCGAAGACGCCTTCGAAGATGTCGAGAGTTGGCATCGATGGTGGGGGGCAGGACAACTCGCTCGACGGCGGGGGGAGCGCTCCAGGTGAAGACGAAGATGCAGAAGAGGAGGGCGATGAGGAACAAGATGGTGTATTTCTTGTGTCAGGAAACACCTGTTCAGCACGCCGAGCACGAAGGGGAGCTCTGGAGGGAGCTGTAGCTCCAAGCTGCGCCGTACGAGTGGCTGTCTTGACAAACGAGCGTGCAGCCTCTTTTGGCCAAGGGTGAGTGGCGGATGAATGGGCAGCGCCAACATAAGTGTAGTACATCACCACGATGTCAAAGATTACCTTGTCCAGTTCGACTGCCGAGCCCAGCGAGCCAAGACGCCCCAGCGGCGAAGACGGGCGCGAATAGCCATTCTCCTGCTCAAGAAGCTGTCGAAATGGTCGGCACTGAAGGTAGTGGTGTACAGCATCAGGTTCTCGATGACATCCAAATCGGCAAGAGATGCGCCCATGCGGCTGCGCTATCCTGTGTGAGGTCGCCCAGCCGTTGGCCACCGTCTTGAAGTAGGCAAACGCCCAGGGCATAGAGCACCCACGAAGGTATTTGAAGATGTGCTCCCATCTGTGTGCGGGAATCATGTGACCACCACTTACTCCGAGCTCAGGAAAACGAAGACTGAGCCTTTTCTCGAAGAAGCGCCAGTGGGTGAGGGCACAGGTGCTTCTTGATCAGCAGGGTGACACAACTCTCAAGGCCCACCGACTTGGAATGTTCATCTCGCCAGCGGTCAGCCTCTACGCTAGCGGCAGCTGTGAAGAGTGCACCCCCCTGCCCCTCTGCCGCCCGTGCCACCATGTGTGTATGGTGTACGCGCTTGTCTTGTTTTGTGGCATGCACGCTGCCCGCCGCTGTTTTGGCCCTAGTCCTAGGGCCCTGGGACGCACCCGCAGTTGGACTGCCGCGCGGTCTTTGCTGAAAACAACTGCACTGACATTGGTAGCGGAGCTGGTAAGCTCCAGCGGACGCACTGCGTGCTCTGCTTCGGTGGTTGTAACCACCCGCGTGGGCCGCCATGGCCGCCAGCCAAGACGGCTCAGACGTGGAGGCTGCGTCCTCCGCAGGCACAGGCCCCCCGGACCTGCATGCGGTCCTGCGTGTGATGGCGGAGACCCAGCGGGAGATCTTGGCCTTGCATCGGGATCGTGGCGACGGCGGTCCCAGACGTACACGTCTACTGCTGTCGCAGGTGAGGCTCCCAGAGTTCGATGGTGGAGTCGGTACGAGTACTAAGAAGTACCGAGAGTGGCGCAAGGAGGTTGAAGTCATCCGCAACCTCAATCAGCTCTCAGACGTGGAGCTGGGCCTGATCATCTACAGTCAAGTGACAGGTCGAGCCAAAGAGCTCATCGAGGTGCTTGACGCGTCGGACCTCCGACGCGAGGAGACGCTCGAGACCATCTTTGCTATCTACGACGACGCCTTCGAGAAGATGGATCACGAGGGCCTCGATCAGGTGCATCAGGATTGGGAGCGAGCACACCGTCGAGCTGGGCAGCCGATCATGGATTGGACCACGTACTTGCGCAAGAAGCGCATGGAGTTGCAGCTCGAGGATCCGACTTCAGCGATCAGCGATCGCGCATTGGCAAGCAAGATGCTTCGTGGCGCTGGACTGTCGCAGAAGGAGCGAGCGCAAGTGCTCTTCAACTGTGGCGGCATCTACGACTCGAAGCGGATGGAGGTCGTGCTGAAGGCAGCCTACTCGAAGGTGCACGACACCGAGAAGCGCTCAGTGCTCCCTCGCCGCTCGCCGTTTGCGGCGCAGCGTGAGCACGGGCGCTCCTCTGGGAGTTCGGGCGGTCGCTATCCGCACCCTCCCATGACTCGTAGGCCGTGCGTGCTGCGAGGACGCTCTGGTCAGCACGTACACGAGGTAGAGAACGGCGAAGACTACGATGAACACCACGGCGACTTGGAGGAGCCGCAGCATGACGAAGATGAACCAAACGACCAGGACGAAGGAGATCTCGGAGGGGCCGAGGGCCCCTTCTTCGAGGAAGGCGCCGAGGTCGAAGAGGAGCTGGCGTCGGACAACGACGGGCCAGATGACGAGGAGTACGAGGCACCGGAGGATCTTCAGGAAGCGTTCTTGGCCGGCTGGAGGGCCAAGCAGAAGACGGCGGTACAGCGTCAGAAGCGCGGGTTCGTTGCTCCTCGGCAGCGGGACCCCAAGAAGATCAACGCTAGCGGCTCCTTCCAGGCTGGTCGGAAGCCGACAGACCAGCGCAAGGCTAACAGCCGGTGTGCTGACTGCGATCAGCCTGGCCACTGGCGCGGCGACCCAGAGTGCCCCAAGGTGAAGAGTGGCGAGCGCGAGCCGTACAACAAGATCGGGCCTAAGAATGGCCAGCCAGCGTCGCCCAACCAGCGGAGCTCTGTGAAGCCGCCGGCGCCTAGGCAGGTGCATGGACCGATCGTCCACTGGGTTGGCATGGCAGGCAGTGCCGAGGAGCGTCGTGGCCGCGCTCCATGGCGCCGTGCTCCCCAGTCGGTGCCTGCCCAGAGGCATCCAGTGGAGGGTCGAGCGGGCGCGCCAGAGCGGATCATTATGCACCCCAGCCAGGCCCAAGAGCATGCCTGCGCCGAGCCTACGCCGGGGCGCCGACGATGGCCCAGGGCCCGCACAGAGCAGTGATGAACGTGCGCGCGCCCGTGCCAGGCGCGGGGAGGATCAGGAGGACGAGGATGCTGTCGTGCG